ATAAGAAATTACCAATAATTTATATGAAGCTTTTAAAATAACCAAATGTATGTCCACATTTGATAAGACCATATAATTATGTTCACTTTATGAAATAACCAAGACATATGAAAATTTTCAAAATTACAATTTTTTTTTTATTTTACTGATCAAAGATATATTTTCAGTTTGTAATGAATTGTAATTTAAGCGTTCATATGTAACTCACTGTTGTAACTACTGTCACTTGATAGCCAAATCTGCTGTCCCACCATTTGTTTTATTCCTTTCACTTCTTCACATTTGGTTTAATGTCTACATAAATTAACTTAGTTGCTTTCTACGACTACCATAGCAAGAAAATAAAATTAAAATCCTCACTTTCACGCTTATACTATTACAACGTTTGACTGCTTGATTAATGACAATGCGCTCAGTTAAAAGCCGAGTGATGCAAGAAAGAGGAAGCAACTTGAGAAGCGCGAGTGCATTGTCTTTATTATCAAGTAGCGAAACACATAGAAAACGTCAAATGAGAGACGCTATGTCATTTTTGCAATACAAGGATGATATAGAAGAATATGTAAGTGCTTCCTTGCAAGAATACTGCAAATCAAGCAGAATAAAAGGAAGCTGTTGAGTGAAAAGGACACTTGTCTTTTATGTGCGAAAACTGCATTACACTAGGAGATCCTTACTTAGCAGCTAAGTATGGCGCAGGGCTTATGCTTAACTACTGGCCTCTACAAGCTCGCCAAACTCGTCACACATACTCAAAAGCTATAAAGCTTATATTTTATGGCGGTGAATTTTCCATGTCAGCCACCATGACGACCATTTCAGTTTATACTACAATTCGTGCTCCAATGCGTTGCATGAGTTAGTGGCAAGCGAAGCTGTCTCATTGGTTGTAAAAGCAGCGACTACTTAGTAATGAGCGCGCGCTTGCTTATTACAACTAGAAATAAGAATTAATAGCTTCAGCATGAGAGCCATACACTATGGCGATGTTTTGCTAGATTAGGAAAATATATACATTTATATATAGATATATGCACACTACTTAGATATTTTCTTAAACCCAGCAAAATCCCATTTTAATTAAGTAAAATTCTAATTTCTGATTATTTTGTTTTTCTCCTTCTCTTCATTGCAGTTTACACCCCACATCCGGGTCCATCACCGTACGGCCATGATGCCATGGGCTATATGATGGACAGTCAAGCGCATATGATGCATCGTCCACCTGGTGATCCGGCTTTCCATCAAGGCTATCCCCATTACCCACCCGCCGAGTATTATGGCCAGCATTTGTAATTAACCGACGCAGTTGAGAGTCAGGACTATAGTCAAAGTCATGGGCAATCAACTTTTGAGGTGGCGACAGCGACAACAGCAGCATCAGCAGCAGCAGCAGCGGTGGCATCGGCATCGGCATCGGCAACGACGGCAGCAGCAGCAACAGTGGCAACAACATAGCAAGAGAACAATTAGAATAAAAAGGAGTTATAATAAAAATAAGAATTATAAATAAATATAAAAATATCACTAAACTATTAAAATAACAACCAAAAAGCCAAAAAAATATTTTAAAGCTAAATCAACATTCAAATATCCTATTTAAGGAATAAATCATTTAAAAACTCACCTCCACTGCTGCATGAATGCTGATACAAAACCACCAAACACATAAACCACGCAAATGCACTCATCTCACCGAACTTCGACTACAACTGCAATTTCAGCTTATTCCAACTACAATAAATTCAGCTTCCGCATTTCAAACTAAGCTGTGTTTCATCGGCAAGCATCATCAACATAAGGATGGATGTGTGTGTGTGTATATCAACTATACCAATACATGCATTGAAACTAGTATCTTCGTGCATACACTTTCGCTTTACTATTGCCTAACGCCTCATATACATACGTAATTGGATTTTAAGCGTAGCAAAATTACTAAAAAGAAAATAATATGTATTCATGTAAAAAAACTGCGATAATTTCTAGAAGCCAATCAAACCAAGGAGACCTTAACGGATTTGGCACACTCAAGCATTTTAGTTTTGAAGAAACGGCTGTAGGTTATTTTTACATGAAAGGTAAGTACAAATGTGTATTAAATGTGATAGCGATATTTCTTTTATTTAGGGCTTAACTATGTAGTAGTGTAGAGGAAAGTAAGCTCGTTCTAAAAACTGCGTACATAGATTATTCAGATGAAGAACTGTAGCTCAAACACAAGTATATATGTATGTAGAGTATACTAAAATGACATATCTTCTTGTATTGAAACGTCAAAAAAATAAGTGCATATTACCAGATGTCTCAGACAAGGACAGTGACAGAATCGGGCCGTCCATTATAAAAACCGTGATTTCGTCGATGCAAAACCGCCTATCTTGCGGCCTTCGAATTATAATGTATAATTATACAGGAGAGCGTAAAAACTGTTTTT